TCCTTCCACCTCCCGATGACATCGTTGGTTGAGGTCAACAGCACCCCACCTTCACTGAGCACAGTGTTAGTGAAGTGCTGCTTCCCTCACCTCAGCCACCAGATGGTTTGCCAGAATCTCCTCAGAGACAATATCAAGAGTCTTTGTCCAAGGCCTCACCAAACTTCTCCCACATCTGAGTTTTTGTCTCAGCAATGGCCAGGGCTGTGACCGACTTGGACTGACAATAATCCTCAGGTGCCTTCAGAGTCCTATCAGCCAACAAGGCCCAATAGGACTCAGCTTGACATTCTCCCTAACCCAGGATGTCCACTACCAAGTTCGAGGATGGCCACTGTCAGAAGCACCAACAACCTTGCTGCCACAGCTCAAGTAAGGCGCTTCAACAGTTGAGGTCCTGGAACATGGCCCACTCTGAATCAATGCCCCCTGCCTCAGCTGGGATCTAGTTGAAGTTCTCTCAGAGGTGTGAGTTGAAGCTCTTTCTGATGGGTTCTTCTGCCAGGTGTTCCTATCAAACTCTCACTACAGGTTTAGGTCTATCAGGTCTGTCCGTCAACTGATCGAACTCACTACCAGGTGGTGATTGGTTGACAGATCAGGTCTGGCCTTCCTTGCTCAAGCTGCTGCCCATGCAAACCGACTTTGGATAAAATGAAAGATAAGGGATGGATGGATAATAACCCAATGGTTTCAAATATACTTTTTTTAACACTAAAGTATGATTTAAACATGAAGTAGGGCAATAATATGTWCAATATTTGAAATTTGGTATATATCAATTTAGAGGGTTGGCGTCATTTGTTTGCTTCTAGAATGAAAAAAGATGACATTGTACATCTTATCTTGTGTTTTTTAATTAGTAGAGTGTCTGAAGATATTTTTGGTGAAGTTTGGAGCCAGTTTAGGAAATACTGACAGAACAGTTAGGGAAAGTGCATGACCAAATTTTCAAAATAAGCTCAAATTTTGACACTTTTTGTGGATGCCAGCTGTAAACGGCTTCATAAGTTAAATATTAGTTACCTGGATTCAATTAAGCAATCACATTTTGGTACCAAAAAATTATGGTCAGATATTATATAGACAGTCAAAATCATGAATTTTAACATTAATCTTGAATTCTGACTTTGTGTCCGGGAGAAATTTAGTAAGAAATGGGTTTTTATAAGGGATGTATTTTAATGGGGTACCAATAAAATTGCTGGTACTTTTTATGCAGATAAACATGGTCTATCTCTTGGACTAATTGAAGAGGTCCTCACTTTACATCAAAGACCTCACTTTGATAGTAACTATGGTGTAAGTACACAGAGAGAGAGAGAGAGAGAGAGAGAGAGAGAGAGAGAGAGAACTGTCTGGAGGGTCCTGGTTAGTGATTTATTCTTTGAGTTTAGATCCAGCTGATAGAGTTCTACGTTTAAATGTTCTTGTTTTTCTACTTTGGCTCCGCCCCCCTCTGAGTCTCGCAGATAGAGCAGAGCCGTCACAGGTCTCAGTTCTGGACCGGCCTCGTAYAAAGAGCCACTGAAAGGCAGAACACAGAACTGTAGGGAGTCTRAGAGACAAAAGGACGTCTGTGAGACAGGATGTCCTTGAAGACGAAGGTTAAAGTACACACCTGCACACACCCGCCCCTGTTTCAGGAAACATTAACAGAACTAGAAGCTCTGAGTCAGATCCAGTCCTGAAGGGCCCACAAGAACACTGTTAGACCTGAACTAGTACTCTGGCAGGACTGAACTGGACCTGGACGAGTCTGAATTAGGTCTTGTTGTTTCACAGAGGATCCTGTCAGAAACTACCGTTGTTTTAGTAACAACAGGACCAGAGACCTGAATGTTACCCAACCAGAGAGCACATCACCACCAGGTAGATCAGTGTTTACAGGTGAGTCACCTGTTGGGTCTCACCTGTCACCTGATGGGTCTCACCTGTCACCTGTTGGGTCTCACCTGTCACCTGTTGGGTCTCACCTGTCACCTGTTGAGTCTCACCTGTTGGGTCTTATCTGTTGGGTCTCACCGGTCACCTGATGGGTCTCACCTGTTGGGTCTCACCTGTCACCTGTTGGGTCTCACCTGTCACCTGATGGGTCTCACCTGTCACCTGTTGAGTCTCACCTGTTGGGTCTTATCTGTTGGGTCTCACCTGTTGGGTCTCACCGGTCACCTGATGGGTCTCACCTGTTGGGTCTCACCTGTCACCTGTTGGGTCTCACCTGTCACCTGTTGAGTCTCACCTGTTGGGTCTTATCTGTTGGGTCTCACCTGTTGGGTCTCACCGGTCACCTGATGGGTCTCACCTGTCACCTGATGGGTCTTATCTGTTGGGTCTCACCTGTTGGGTCTCACCTGTCACCTGTTGGGTCTCACCGGTCACCTGATGGGTCTCACCTGTCACCTGTTGGGTCTTATCTGTTGGGTCTCACCTGTTGGGTCTCACCTGTCACCTGTTGGGTCTCACCTGTCACCTGATGGGTCTCACCTGTTGGGTCTCACCTGTCACCTGATGGGTCTCACC